TCAAGCTCTTCAAGTCTGTTCTCCTGATTTGTCAAGATATGCAATTTGCCATATAATTGCAATAATTTCTGCAAACTACTTAAGTGTGATATTGTTGGTGGGAAAGTTTTACTCTTCCTTAGAGCGTTGTGCTATATTTCTGTCGTTTTGCATCTGCATCACTGTTTGGGAACTCACTTAAAATGGTTATATATTTAATCCCTTGCATACAATTCACAATAAAATAAAATAACATCCTTTTGCAGTTTACTATAAATGCAAATAGCATAAAAGTTCGCTGTGCATAAATCTATCAACTCGGTAATTGTGAATTTGGCAGTTCACGAATTCTTTTCCTCTATATTTAGTCATGTCAAGCATCTCCAGGGAAAGTCCTTTTAGCACTCATTAAAAAGCCATAAAAATCAACACGCTCTCTTTATGGACTTTCTGTGATTCACATTTCCTATGATGTTTCTGGGTGTGGCTTTGGAGTGGCAAGAAAAAGGTCAAGCCAACATCAAAGACTGCATTTTTTCGCTCTAATGTCTGCGAGCACGTTTCTGCTTCATTGTGATTAATTTGCAGTACAAAACAGGCGAAGAACTGCTGGTGCGTCATTATATAATAGACAGAAGGAAGAACATAAAATGTGCTACATTTCAATTGGAAATTGTCCAGTTGATTCTCCAGGCTTCTGGCTTTATTGGCAATCACTCAAAATGCATATTGGATTTTATTGGCTTCACCGGTGAATGATGTAAACTCCAAAACGCCATCATTTAATCAAGGGTCACGAAGAGACCAAAATTGAGCTGTTTGATGGCACGCCAAAAAAAAAGCCCATCAAACTGCGAAATTTCATTTGGCCAACGCTGAACTCACTAATTATTGCAGCGCGAAAAATATTTTGTAATGAAATTCTTCATTTTTTTTTATCATTCATACAAAACACACAATATTATTTATCTTTTGCTGACCATTCGTGCTGCACACTCAATACTTTGGCCGATGTTTTTTTTTGATTTATTTCATCCCTCCAGGGAAATTATTCTAATCTCCATCGCGATGGTTGTTCAGAAATAATTCGAATATTTCAATGTAATGTAGTATGATTTTTTGTTATGCAAATTTTCTGTATAATATTTTCCCAACTTCAATGCGGCTGAATTTATTTGCGGTTGAAAAACAGGAGAATTTCTCTCTATAATTTCCACCCGCTGACTTATGATTGTTGTATTTAATTCTGTGCAAAAAAAAAGAAGTCTCTCGCAGAGTTTTATTTTTGGGTCAGTAACAATGCCTATAAATTTTTTTTTCGGTAAATTTTCCGTGTAGAGAAAAGAGCGATTGCGCAAGATGTGTTTTAAATGTATAATTCTCAAGGCAACGGTGCACAATTTCTCCCTTAAAAAGTCATTATCCAGTCAGAAGGAGAAGAATTTGGGTAACTAAAATAGATTACATATATAGTCTCGTTGCTCAATTTTCTCACAGCGAAAGCACATGGAAATTCAAGAAACGACAAACTAATATCACTCTTGATATACATTTTCATTAAAACTTTATCCTAATGTCTGGAGGAAAATTAGCTAAATTCCATCATTCCCACAGTCCAAACATATTTCATTAATATTTAACATATCAATTCAATGTTTGTTTTTTTCCTGCAGATGCGCAAAATTTCATGGAATACAGTTTGTTTGGGTTTATTTAGTAATTCAACTTTCACAACGAGATTTTATTGACTCATTTTGGGATGTTTCCAATTTGATTTTGTTTCTCTTGTCCTCGTCTTTTTGGAAAATGACAAAATTTACTTCAGTTTGGAGACACTTTTGTATTGATCGCGAAGAGCTTTCACGCGAGAAAGCTCACTGTCAATTTTCATCAGTAGCAAAAAAGAAAAGAGTTGCAAAGCAAGCGTGAAATTGAGCCAAAAAAATGCATATTTTCTTGATCAAATTCACACCTTTCGGGCAAATTGATTGATGTGTGTTCCAGTGGGAGGGTTTTTGAGAATGAATGGGAGAAAGCTTTCACGGTAAATGTGGGAAAATGTGTACCTTTTGTCACCATCGAAAGGTGATGCGTTGAAAATTTCATGAGGTCTTAATTTTGTGATTGAGGACAGAATCAAGGTGAAAGACTGGGTTTCTAATTTATTGAATTTCTTGTCCTCAGCCACATTTTCACCCTCTCTCTGTCTCTCTGTCTCTCTCCTTGTGGGGAAAGAAAGAGAGTCGAAGGGCCGACAGAGTGTGAGAAAAGAGACTTATAGAAATGTGTTATGAGGAGGGAAAATAGACTCAGTCGGCACGCAAAGTGATTTCTCATGATAAACGCGTGCGAGCTTTTCGTCTCTCTCGCAACAAATTGTGTTGGTTGGGAAATTTGTGCAAATGGACACATAAAAAGTGCGTGAAAGAACTCTTTAGAATTGATTTCCATTCTTCAGAGCTCACACGTCATCGAAAAGTGAAACGATAGTGGATTTTCAACCCTCCTCAACTTGTCTTTTCCCCACCTCTTTTCAGCCCTTTTGAGTGTGTGCCGAAGGAGAATTAAAAAAAAAAGTGGCTCTGAAGCGCATCTTTCGACAATCCAATCCAATTGCAATTTTCCCTTCCATTTTGCAAATTCAATTTCCTACCATCGAAAGAAGCTCTATATATTTGATCTGTCGGCAAATGTAAATTTTAATGGATATATCGTCTGAGCTGAAAATACTCATCTCGTCGCTGGGTTGAGGATAAATTGAAGCCACAGAGTGACATTAAAATTGCAGTTTAACCCTGAGTTGAGCTGATGGATGAATCGATAAGCTTGTGGACATGATAGTGTAAAATCATACACTTGACGTGCACGTAATTTGCAACTTCAACCTGGTGAAATTAAATTACTTCTAGATTAGCAAATTGCGAGAAAGATACACGATTAGTTTTAGTTTCATCAGCATTTCGTCTTTGAGGCGAACTTGTCACATAAAATTCACCATCATGTTGCTTTTTTTTTTTAATTTACAGTCTGTCGCACTTGATAAAAAATATACATGTTCAAAGCGCTTTCGAGATTATCACAGAACTCACTGTGTCAGGATGTAACTTACCGCGTGCTTCACGTGTGAAACAGTGTTCAAGAGGGAAACTGTGCCTTTTTTTTCGGCAGCCAATCGATAAATGTATTTATGTGGCATTTAGTTTGACCCCTGGCAAGAGTGCCACTTCTCTGTCATCCCTTAAATTTCACTGTGCATCGCGGCGTGTCAGTAATTTATGACAAAAATGGATGTGCACAATTTTCTGCCATATGAATTCATCCCAAAAATAATACAAATCCATTCATATATGTATGAAGTCTACTGTTAAATTGCAATGGCGCACATGAAGTGTGTGGGAAATGCGTTTTATTGCACGAAAATATATTTTCCACTGCTTTTAGTTCGTTTTATTCATGGTATAATCAATGTTTGTACAGTTGAGAAGCAATTTTAAATACTTATTTCAAAGTCATACTTTTCCAGTGAATTGAAAAGGTAGAAGTTTGATGTGTGTGTGTGGAAAATGTTTCTTCCCTCTTGAAAAGACGTGGAGCTTTCGGTGCAAAAAGGTGTCAATTAAAATTAATGATGTGTCCGTAATTGAGGACAAAATTCCACTTGAGTAGAAAGGGGATGTTCCAGTTGTTGGCAAAATACTTTCAACACCCTCTCAATGGTCACACGAAAAAAGACAACTCATGCGAACCAGAGAGAGAGAGACTGTGAATTATGGCAAATATTCTGTGCCAAATGCAGAGAAGAAAAATATCTGGTTATAATTGAAAACAAATAAAGAATTAGTGATTTTTTTCCAAAATCTCCCTCTTCGGTCAGCATTTTTTGTCAACCACAGAGTTGTCGTGATTAAACACACTGTAAATATTTTCCCATTTTCCTTCACGCACGGATTTTTTTTGTATGTATGCTTGTGTCCTTTGTCTGTGTGTGTGTTATGAAAGCCTCACGAAGTTTCGGCATCGATTTTTCGGAAAATAAATACCCATTCTTGTGCCTCATTTTCCCTCAGTGAATTCCTCTTTTTTTTTCTCCACCACCAGAAATTCATGTCTGTGGGTGTGGAAATTCTAGACATATCGATGTCAGTTTTATGTTACAACCTCACACCGAAACTTTCCCCGAAAATTATCCACCACCAACTTGAGTGCCACTTTGCCTTGTCGGCCGGTTTTTGGTGAGGAAATTTTCTGGGAATTTTCATAAAATATCAGAGGCAGATAAAATCCATCGAGTGGGAAGCGAAGCATATGTAATTTTTTCCCTCACAACAAATGTAATGTGCATTTATTGCTAAATTTGACGAAGAAAATCGTCACTTTATGCCAAAAAAATCGCTATAAAATTAAGTAAAAGACCATTTTTTTGCACTGTGAATTGTTCGTGAGCTTGCAGAATTGCAGACTCTCATGAGGATTCGGCAAATTCATAGGGAAATTGAAGGTGAATAACATATTATTTTTGCCTGCATTGCCTGCACCCAAAACTCGTCACGCTAATTCGTAGTGAAATAACCAAAAATCCTCCCTTCTAGCGAACACAACCTTGCGTCCTCGTACATTTCCATCAGCACAGTGTCTCATTTTGGGGTCATGCGGCCTTAGGGGATGATTGAAAGCCCTTCTGTCTGGGGCTGAAACTAATTCCCTCTTTGTAATTCATTTGCCGAGGCTCTCTAATGAAATATTTCACGCTCAATTCACCGCCCGAATGGGAGTTATATAATAAAATGCGATGAACCGGATTTAGGTTGGGGGATCGACGACGAGTGAGTGCATTGATTAGGCCGCGTGTGGCGAAGAAGGGTGCGGAATATCTGCATTGTGGCTGTCGCTAGAGAGAGCCTTATTCGTGGCCTCTTGTGTGTGACGTATTAGATCGATTGCATTGAGCCTCGAAGGAAGAGCGTGAGTCGCCATGTCAATGCAGACATTTCGGATTAATCTGGGACAGGGGAGTTACTCACCTTTCACAAGTCTCTGTATAATGATGTCCTTATGCTCCTGGGAATAAGGCTCTCCGATCACAATGAGTAGATAGCAGCCCGTGAGGGGGCTCGGCGGCCCGATGCCCACCATGCTGGGCGGCCCGGCTTCCGCCACCTCGGCCCCCGGCCCGCCCTCCGCCGGCGCCACTCCGTTCGTCACCCCGTTGGCCTCCTCCATTCGCGGCTCCTGCAACTCACCAGCGGACAATCGAAGAGAGCGAGAGAGAGTCACTCAAGTATCACCGCACTGGACAACTGTCTGATCACCGCTCTGCCACTGAGACAATCGCCTTGGGATCAATGCGGGCAGCAATCTGCTGTCTCCGGGCTGGAGCAGGAGCGTGGGACTTGTGGCTTAATTGAGAGACTGCTGGATGGATGAAAATTTTCCGTGTTCGACACTTTTCACACGACTGTCTGCACTGTAATGGCCGCACCCGAAGAAAAGTTCAACTTTGCTCCCAAAAGCACCAACTCTCTATGGCTGTCTCGCTCCTCCAGTGAACTCTCCACGCAAGCTCCTCTCGCTCTCGCTCGCGTGGTGTGTGTGTGTCTCGATGGAGACCTCTTTCCGGGAGCCTTTCCGCCTTGAGTCAGGGGTGCAGGTCTCTTTTTCCTCACTCTCTTCTCTCGCGGACAAATCGGTCGATGATGGGGCACAAATTCTGGGCAATTTGTCGGAAACACCTTGGGAAACAACAGTCCTCAATTCATTGTTCGGCGAACCTTTCCTCTCCGGCACCCTTTTGCGCCCTCCTCGCCAGATGGGCGGTGAATCCCAAAATTTTCACTCAGCACTCAAAGGAAAGTCCTCAAGTTCTCAAGTCGGCGCGGTGTAGAAAAGAAATAAACCGTTCACAGTCACTTGGGATTCTGGTCTGTCTGGATTCTCCACAAGGCGCGAAGGATCAGCCAATCTCGGTTGTGTGGCCGCTTGAGTTCTTCACACTGCTGCTGGGTTCTTGTGAATGAGAGACGGTCTCTGAGGTGTCGAGAAGCGACCGGCGAGCACGGAGTCTAAGAGCCAAGTCACCAGCTCAGTCTCGCGGCGGAGCTCCGCAGCGCGGAGTGGCCAAAGTGGGGGCCGCGCTCTCACTGCGTGCGCTGGGGAAGGCGCTGGAGAGGGTCTCTGCGCAGCGGCGCGCTGAACCAGCTGGCGCCCTCCCCACCCGGATCGCGGATCAGATGGTCGCGCCACGAGTGGAATCGATAACCGGCTGACGGCACAAAGGGTGCCGGGTCGTCTCATCTCGCTCTCCGCGACAAGCGAAAACGGTGTGTCACGCCGAGGCGGAGAAATGGGCCGCGGAGAGAGTGCGCCACGTCGGGGCGGCTGTCTCTGTCGCGCCCCACGCGAAGGGGGGCGCGCTCCAGAGTGGCCTGATGGAGTGCAACGCAGGCGCCAACAATCCGCAGAACCCCGGGCGCCATCTCTAGGCGGATGCGGAGCCCGGGGAGCCATTTAGTCCTTCGTTGGTTGACCCCCTTGTTTTCCTCAATGGCCCGCGCCGGATGACGAGCCGTGGAGCATTAACCCTTCGAGGCAGCTTACCTCTCAGCTAAGGAAATCGTTTTCACACCCATTTGACGAGAAGTTTGAATGAAATTTCAATTCATCGGTAAATATTAGAAAACATTATGCTTTCCGTGGTGGTAATAATAATTCAAGAGTTCTCTAAACTCAATAACTCGTCAATAAATTTCTCGGCATCGCATCAAATATTCTGTCTTAGTTGAGCCTCAATTTCAGCAAAATAGGAATTCTCATACGACGGCACAAGTGACAGAATAATATGAAGGGAAAATACGACGCATGGAAAGATAGGGAAACTGGAGAAAATATGCAAATTCATTTCTTAGAAAAATACACCATGTAAATTTCCTCTCCGTCGCCATGTCATATTTCCAGACTTGCCAACATTTTACAACAAATTCACACGATTTTCCCCGGTTGGGAAAGGGAAATTGAATGCGGCACATTTTCCGTCATGTCACTCCAGACGTGTGAGTCTTATTGAATTTCTTGTCCGATGGCGTGCAATGCACTCCGCAGGAGTCCCAAGGGACTCGATGATGAGTGTGGGAGGCGAAGGATGTGCGGGTCAATTGTGGACGACGACGGCGGCGGCGGCGATTTGTGTTGGGTGGAGGAGAACTGGCGCATCGCAGAAGATGTCTTCACGGACACAAAGGACCCAGCCTCCAAGTGGAGAGAGAGAGACTCTCCAGTGTGTTGGTGGTACCTTTTTACCCTCAAAGTAACAAGATTGCAGTGCCACAGCAATTCTCGCCGGTGCGTCTTTTTGGCGCATTTTTCACTCTTCTCCTCCATTGCCTTCTTCTCACCACACACCTTTTTTCTGTGTATGCGCACTCCTCTCAGGTAGACACACGCGGCGGCCCAAGAAGTTGCCATCGAAGCCTCCGAGGCGGGGACAGGAAGAGCGAGAGAGAGCACGGGATCGACGGACTGCCTCTGTGTTCTGGTTGCCTGGCAAAAGTAGAGCATTGTTGTACGACAGGTGGCTAAAGTGGTGAGCACACCTGTTGGCGTGTCCATCGGACCCTTTGTAATGGCCTGAGAAATTCCTCAACTGACCAGATAATTACCTTTACCCTGTGTTTTTGCCCAACATCTCATCGCCACTGCACGGCAGAATGTCTCGACTTTGTGGGTGTGATTCTCTGCGCAGTTTCTCTGCATACACTTGGTAGGGTTCGCAGAAATTGCCGCGACTTTTCGTATAGAAACACCGGGATGAATTGTTAATTTCTAGGGCACAACTTCACACGAAGTCTCTTCCCTGCAACATAAGTGTAACTGTGGATGTCTCGAGGGCTTCACCTTTGCCCTCGACATTTGCAGTGAACCACCCCTGACCCACACATGTTCCCGGTCGTCGTGACATCTTCCACGAAGATGGTTTCTTGTTACAAGGATTTCTTCTTGTGATGTAACACACTGAGAAAGACCAAAACAACACACGCCACGCACACAGCGCTCTCGGGACTTGCGTGCTATTATGGTGCCTTGGTGGGGAATCGATAGAAATGAATAAATACACCATCGGAATTTTCTTCTTCCTTCTCAGCTCGATGTATCTCGGCCGCTCTGATATAGGAAATCCATACGGAGATAGAGATGGTTTGAGTGTTGGCGCGAAGGAGACAATCCGACGCGCGGCGCAAGATGCGTTTCAGCTGAGTTTGGGCGCCCGTGAGGAACGGTTACCATGTTGTGTAAAATGAGTGAAACAAGAGCAAGTTCTCCCGGGTTACACCTGTTCTGGAAACCTACACACACATCCTGCTTTTCCGCCCTCCCAACAAAAACTCTGAGAAACCTCCGTTCCCGCCTCTGTTCGCGCGCGATGCACTCTGCTGTGGTCCTGGACCTGAGCCGGAGTTGGGACAGTTGGGACCATTCCAACATAGAACGCGGCGAGTTCCTTCCGAAACTAACGAATGGGTCGTGATATAAGAGTACCGAACTGATTACCATTCGATATTTCACAACCAGGCGACCAAAGGCAATTTGAGAATTCCACTCTTGGGATGAACACATGTCAGCATGGGCGAAGACTGGCTTGTGTGCTTGAAATGCGATACCAAATCTCGCATTCACGAAAACCGAGAGACAAAATCCCGAACCCTACAAATCGCATTCAGGGGCTAAGGCTTCAGAAAATAAGCGCCTTTTGGCCTTTTGAGCGTGCGATTCTCGTTTACCAGCGATATATTTATGGATTCGATATTTTGTGAATGCGAGAATTTGTGCGATTTCCCAGTGTTTCAGAAACAAATCCTTTGACCTTGCATTAAGAACCTTGTTCTTTAATCTCCTTAACTTATAATACTGTTCTTATACTTATAATACATCAAGCCGCAATGTTGAGGATTTCATACGCTTAATTGTGAGATGGTAGAATTAAAAGCTATGATTAAATCTGCAAAAGACTTTCCACAAATCCGCTCCGAGATTGCCAATGAATATTCCAAATTAATCCGTTTCAATTGCTCTCAAATCCACAAATTTACACCAGCGCATACAGAATATATTTCGAAGAGTTCACAGTCTCGTGTGCAGCTGAAAAAATGCCCCGCCGCAGCGCAATGATGACAGTCGCGAATTGCTGATGGCCTGGGCCACGAGTAGACGCCACGGTTTCGCAACACATATCAAAACAGATGCTTTTCCACTCTCACCCAGAGGTGTTCGGCGCAAAAAGGGGAACACGCACATGGAGCTCACGGGGGCCCGGCGTGGCGCTGCTGCGCACTCATGGGCGCCTGATGGTGGCACTGTCGCTTGCGGCGGCCTCTCTCTTCGCGGGCACAGTAATTTATTTCGGACCACGACCACGTCCCGCCGACTGGAGTGCCATTTGTCGCCCGGAGGGCCGACCAGGTGGAGTCTGGAGACATGGGGGCTCCCCCACTGCGGTCAACCGCGCGCATGGGCCCCTCGAGGCGCAGTGCCTCCCATCGTCGATTCGTGGCCTTTAGTGGCGGCCGCGCTCTGCGTGTTGGACGTTTTTGTTGTCGGAGTTGCGGCATACGACATTCTCTGCCAGGCGACCAGAAGAGCGCGCTCGGCGCTCCCGGCCTCGCACACTGCGCTCGTTGTCTGCCGCCTCGCACTCCGCATGGCCTCGTCGAGTGGCCTGAGCGTGTCCGCAGGACGAATCCTTTGTCCACTCGTTGGAAGACGCAGGAAATTGGGCATTCCTGAATGTCCAATAAAGTGTGTAATTACATTTCTTATTTTCCGAGAGTTGCTGAGATACATGCAAATTGTCATTGTGTTATATGCATATAAGTGCATTAAATGCAGGATATAGAATCCCTACGCAATTCTTCTTTATTGTCAGCCATTGAATTGGCGAATGCAATTAGTGGTGAGTGTGAAAAAAAAACCCCAGAGCATCGCAGTGTGCCCTGAGATAAGAGATGATCCCCTATTTCTTTATCTCTCCAATGTGTCACAACTAATCACCCAAAAGGAGAGATCTTCTTTGCACTAGTCATGCGTCTGCGAAACCTATTCCTATGGTCAACTACGCAATCTCTATGGCCAGTTTCTGTTGCCTCCACACCAATAAGCTTCTCATCTTGATTGGAATAATTCATATATAGTAATATTCAGGGACGTGTTTATCAGCAGCCAATCGTTGTCTTGGATAATTGGCAAGTTCTTATGAACGCTTGGTAGTATTTTGCAAAATTTGCTCCACTATGCTCACGAATGCCATGCGTCTGGTAATCATTTCCAGAGTGCAAAAGCACGCGCCGCGGATTGAAGCCCCCGCAGAGGTTTTTTGAATCCGTCAACACTGATGCATATGCAGCTTTCGCCAGGACCATCAATGCCTCTCCTCATCCTCGGGCGAAGGTCATACCTGGCCAGCGACCGCGGAGGAGATGCAGACCTTGTCGGCAGAGCGCGCGCGGGGAGAAAAACGCCGGGAGGCTTTGCGGCTCTGCAATGCAATCACGCAGCAGTAGCGCTCCGTGGGACTTGTGCACATTCCGCCGTTTCTACTGCATGCGCTTCTAGCGCGCTAGTGAGCAAGTTCGCGCGTAAAATACACCCGTTTCCACCAGGCCAGCATAAGTGCGCCGCGCTCGCTTTGTGAGCAGCTTTGCCTCTCTCTCGCCGCCCGATGGCGCTTGTAGCACGGCAGACATGGACTTTTCACCAGACACATCCACGCAAAATGATCACATATGTGATGACAGTCATGAGAAATGTCCCTGATGGTATTTCTGGACATATTCCTCTTGGTAAGAAATGAGATTTTTCGTCACATTTTCAATGAAATACC